AGGGCGTGGGGGGGGGGGACGCCAGCCACACTGCACCCTTAATCAGCACCTCCGTCCTGCCAGAGTGGCCACACACGGCTGTGCCAGCTGCATGCGCCTCCTCCCAGCCCCTGCTGCGGATCTTTTTGGGGAAGGAAAACCCCCTGGCAGTTCCTCACCCACCTGGCAAACTGTTAGTAAAAAAAAAAAAAATAAAAAAAAAATAATGCATCCAGCATGTCGCTGCCTGCCCCGGCGCTGTAGATTAGAGGAGTTTGTTACCAGGCCGCAGCTGGCTCGCAGCTCTGGCACAGACCCATGCCCTGAGCCCGGCAGGGTCTGTGGGCACACGGCCTGCAGCGTCCGTCTGTCCTGCCACCACCACAGCTGCACCCCATGGGGTTCCTCAGTGCATGTGGGTGTAGGGGGTTATTTTTTAGTTCACATGGATAGGGGGCAGAAGGAAGGGGGCAAGACAGGAGCTGCCAGCAGCGCTGTGACAGGTGAGGGCAAGAGGACCTGGGAACCATTTTCAGCCTCTCGGTGGCTGTGCCGCCCTCCCCTGGCCCCCAGCGCCCCCGCAGCCAGGGGTGCAGCCCCTCGGAGTCAAGCAGGGGGGTCTCTCCGTACAGGGCTCTGCAAAGGCAGCCTGCCCTGTGCAAGGCAGCTGCTGTTTGCTCAGAGGTGGAACTGTGGCACTCATCCGTGTTTTTATGTAAATAAATAACAGACCCTGAACTCCATGTACATCGTTTCTTCTCCCCCTGCTCCAAACCCACTGCGGATCTGCTCCTGGGGAAGCTGAGGATGAGGAGGGATGGGAGGGGAGGCAGCAGGGAGGGGAGGGGGTAAGGGCAGGAGTGCCTCAAGGAGTGCCTGAGTCAGAGCCAAGTACAAGGGCACAGGAGCTCGTTCCCACTCCACCTCCTCCCCTGCATCCCCCCCCCGACCCCGCAGTTTGCTCATTCTCCCAGCGATGTGCTTCTGGCTTTCCCCAGCTACAGCATTGCAACTTTTTATTCCAATCAAGGCTTCAGAAACAACAAACCCACAAACCACCCCAATCCCCCCATTGCACAGTACACGTTCGTCACCTTCATACCCCCCACCCACCCCCAGGGAGCTTCCTCACATGGGTTGGGGCTTGGTCCCCAGGCCACCACAACACCCAGGACACTCCTCCATCTGATGACTCTGTGGCACAGCCACCGCAGCATAACTGAAACACCAGTTTCTCAGGGTGGGAAACTACCGAGCACTCTTCACAGAAAAGGCTGAGGACACATCCTTAGGTTGCAGCCCAGGGCAGGAAACTCTCCCCAGCGACTGCTCCTGGGAAGGAGATGAAAAGCCAAGCGCGTGAAGCCTTTGCCAGCACAGGACAAGACAGCGCTAACCTTAAAAGCTGCCCCAGCCCGAGCAGGGCAGCGCTGGAGCAGGATCCTCACCGCCTGGCACCAGATCAGTCCCATACACCAGTCAGCTAGAGATGCTGTATGACAGTGCTTGCATTACCGGTGTGCAAAGAGTCTTTGAGGGTCCCGCAGAATTCCCGTTTATTTTCTTACTTCCAGCCTGCAGTCAACTCACCCCCAACAGCAAGGGAACAACTTGAAGGAGGACAGGGCGCGCCTCTCCCCTCGCCGCCACCTTTTTTTGCGTGGAAGGGGCAGCTGGGTCCTGCCCCGCCTGCCGGAACACAGAAAGCGCCGTTAGTGCTGCGAGTCCCATGCCACGCGCGCGTGGCAGCTCTGTTGCTGCCCACAACCTACCTAGTTTGTCTGCATAGTAAGGGCATTTGCGCAGGTCTCCTTTTCCATCGTGGACTGGAAAGCCTCCATCTTGGGCTTCTTCTGCCAGCGACCTGCCGATCTTGTCCAGTTCATCAAATACCTGCAAGCGAGGTCACAGCGAGTACGTGAAGCAGGCAGAGCTTCTATCCCGACCCCTGGAGCGATCGGGAGAATGGGCAAGAGCCGCTCCTGCCTCCCTTTCCCAAAGGGCAGCACGTGCTGCTCCCTTCAGAGCGCCTTGCAGGCAGGCCGGCGGTGACATCTGGCACGTGCTACGGCTCTGAGAAGGCACAGCCCATTCCCAGAGCATCAGGTCAGACCCAGGAGCGAGACAGCCGCAGCGTCGCCCTGCTGTTTGCCCCCCAGCCCATGGGAATCTTGTAGTGAAGTCTTATCCCTCATCAAATCAACTGCCCTAATCAAAGGCTCGGCTGTGGTGCTGGAGTACAGGAGGAATTCCTGCCCAACACCAGCCATGCCTCCAGAAGCCAGCAGAGGAGCTATTCAAACTAGAATCCCACCCGCCCCAAGAAAGAGGAGCGCTGGGGGGTCTCAAACCGCTGCCTGAAAGAGCAGTCTGACTGAATTAACCTGGGCCTAAGAGCTAGTCCGGACCCAAACGTGGCAGCAGCAGTACACATACAGGGGCTCCAGAGATTTAGTACCTGCATGTTAAATCTGAAGGCTCGGTTGGCCTCTTCCACGATCCTTTCCTTGGTGTTCCTGTCCAAGTCCAGAGCATTCATCCTCGCTCTGTAGAGCTGCTTGAACTGCTGCGCGTTGGAAATGTTATCAAACATGTAGAACTGGATCCCTTCCTCAGCACTGGGCAACTTCAGGGCCCTCTGGGCTACCTTCTTCAGCACTTGGCCACCTGAGAGGTCCCCCATATAGCGTGTGTAAGCGTGAGCCACTAACAGCTCTGGCTCGTGCTGTCCCACATGATGGATTCTGTCCACATAGTGCTGAGTTGCCTCTGAACACTGGATCTTCTCTTTCCAGTCTTCTCCATAGAAATATTTCAGGTCTTTGACCAATGCTTCTCTCCGGTGAAGCTCTAGGGGGAAATACAGAGGAGCAAAGACTGGGTTGTCCTTGTTGCGATCCATTTCCTCTTCCAGTGCAGAGTACGTGAAGTAAAGTGCCACGGTGGCCAGCTACAGACAAAGCACAGCAAAGGTGAGAAACCATTCACTAGATCGGCACATCACGCCTTGCGACTGCCCTCCCCCCACGCGGAGTTGGGGTCCACAAGGAGGAAAACCCCAGGCTTGACACAAAACCAGCCTGGAGAGCCCGTACCAGGCACGCATCGCTTGAAGGATCAGAGGCTCTTCTCTATCCACGTTTGTAGCAACAATACCTACAGAGCACGAGCTGAGAGTTAGTCTAAGGTCGCCAGCTGTGTGCTCTGGGCATCCAGCCTCCTTGAGAGCAAGGCACCGGGACAAACTTCATCCAAAAGGTACAACTAGCACCAACAGCCTCGCGCTGTAGGAGCGTACTGTATAGGCTAAGACCTTCAGGATCAGACAGTGCTGCTCAGACCCAGAATACCTTCTCTTCTGTACAGAAGAGAAAGCAATCCAACCCGAAGTCTGTGGAAAACAGTCCAGTCTTTGGACGATGGAATAAGTGCTGTCATCTCACCAGGATTTTGCTCCTGAACATCTCATGCCACCAGCATCTGTGCTGCAGCCACACCTGCCTTGAGCAGCCAGCAGATGCGTGGCCAGAAGCCCAGCATTTCCACCTAAATAATGTTGTGCTGGGCCAGCAAGCTCCTCATCCCCCGGGTCCCAGCTGTAGGATACACCCAGCAGAAATCCTGGACAATGGCCCTCCTGTAGTTTTGACTATGCCACCTAGGAGCTGGATTCCTCCCCACCCCCTACATGCAGAGCTGCGGGGCTCTGCCTCAGAGCCTGCATCAGGCACTGGGTATGCCAGAGAGCTTCTCTGCCACGGGAACAGAGCAGCGCTCACCTTGAAGAGCTCCTTCTTGATCCGCCCTTTCAGGAAGTCTTTGACAAACTGGGTGTTCTCCGCACGGTCGTGGGATTCCTTAGTCCCCTCCTTCAGCAGCTCTGAAAGGTCAGTGGGACTGCAGGCAAACAGGGAGAGCTCCTTTCACCCCACTTCCACATGCAGTAATGACTTTGTCCCGTCTGTGTTTAGAGGAATCCCCCCACTCCCTACCATCTCAGACCCAGTTTGGAGAAGGTACAAGGTGGGATCCCTCAGGCCAGCCACACAGGCTAGAACTGGCACCACCAGGAGGAAGCAGCAGGGTGGCAGCACCCAGAAGCTCCTTCCACAGATGCGGGCACCCAGGTGCCACCCAGACCTGCTATTCCAGGAGGGTTGGGGCTTACCAGGGGCTCAGACCCAGGATGCTGAAGCAATTACCAAGGATTACCAATTGCCGTTACCTGGGAGCAGAGACCAACACCCACCTTGCTACTCCCTCCTTTTGGGTAGTTGTTGGGACCAATAAGGGCGGGAGTGAGGGGCCCAACCCTGACCCCAGCAGTCAAGGGGCAGCTTCCCCAGTGCCCAGCACAGGGCCACAATCCCTGCCCTGCTCCTGCTGGCCACACCACTCCTGATACAAGTCAGGATGCTGCTGGCCCTCTTGGCCACCTGGGCACACTGCTGGCTCATATTCAGCCGCCTGTTGACCAACACCCCCAGGTCCTTTTCTGCTGGGCAGCTTTCCAGCCACTCTTCCCCACGCCTGTAGCGTTGCATGGGGTTGTTGTGACCCAAGTGCAGGACCTGGCACTTGGCCTTGTTGAGCCTCACACAATTGGCCTTGGTCCATGGATCCAGCCTGGCCAGGTCCCTCTGCAGAGCCCCCCTCCCCTCCAGCTGATCAACACTTCCACCCAGTTTGGTGTCATCTGTAAACTGACTGAGGGTGCACTTGATTCCCTTGTCCAGGTTGTTGATAAAGATATTAAACAGAACAGGCCCCAACACTGAGGGGAACAACAACTTACTCCGAAGTGCACCTTACAGTTTTTATGACTGGCTCACTACAGATAGCATGTTCATGTTAGCTGTAAGAGAGACAGCCTTTGAACACTCCAGGCCCACTGAGTGGCTGAACCCCGCAGCCAACAGGCTAGACAAGGCCTGGATGTGCCGGGAGAGCCAGTTAGCATTAACTTCTCATGAAACTGCGCCTGTCAAGTCAAGGAGAAGTCAAACGGCCTGTGTAATTATTCTGGGAAGCACCCTATTCACCCTTCCCATTTTCCAAGTCTGAAGCCTTAGCTTTCAGAGCACGTGTGTGAATCTGTTTTTTAAACTAACCTCCAAGAAAATATTCTTGCCTAGACCAGTGGGTGTTCTGCAAAGGCAGGAGAGGCAGCTCACTGGAGCAGAGTTCACCTCTGGAGTCACCTTTCAAAGCAAGCTGCCGCTGTCACATGAGACTGCCCAGCAAGCCATGGAAAACTGGCTCACCTTGGCCAGGAAGGCACAAACACAACTGCCAAATGGTCAAAGCATTTCTGAAATGCGTGTTTGATAATAGAGACTAAAAAACAACTGCTTGTTGTCAGCCTTAGCCCTTCTTCCTCGCTTCTTCCCATCCCTTCCACCGTACCGTTTGATTAAACAGATTCTACTGCAACACCTATTTGAGTAATCACCTACTGGAGTCCCTCACTCCTTTTCAGATGAGGAGAAAGATCACCCCTTTACCTGGAAGGTCTCCTGCCTTGCCCAGGACTGTTTCTGTGCCATGTTGTGAGATAGGACTCACCTGACGTTGTCATCTTCTGTTTCCTCATAGCGCAAGGTTTCCCCTTCTTCTCCCCTCTCTGAGCCCTCCATAGCTGATGGCATTGTTGGTCAGTGCTGGAGATTAGACAACCTGAAAGGCAAAATTAAAGAGGGGTTTTAGAGGGAAGCTGCCTTAGCAAAGGGATGGGTATGAAATGCTGAGCAGTCCAGCAGGGAGCCTCTGAGCTGCTCCACCACGCAGGGTGGTGGGGAGCAGCCGCCAGCCATTTCTACCGCACATGCGGCACTTCCAAGGAAGCAGTCTTACTCGTTCAGTTCAGCTGCCTCAGGTGAACCTCAACACTAAATATTCACAAAATATTAACCTCAGAGGACACCTACAACACAGCAGCCTGTGTTAGGTTTCCCACTTCAGGATGGCTCCTGGCTGAAGATGATCAGAGACCTCCACGTTAGCAATCTGCATTGAAATTGTGAGTGAGCAGTTTCCTACTGCTGCTACCAAACCTCTCATCCAATGTTAGACTAAGACCGGAGTAACTGGAAAGGGAAGCACCTCTCCTGGAAGAAAGCAGTGATGAATTAGGCCAACTAAGCTCTGAAGTCAGGCAGCGCACAGGGGAAACAAAAGCCTTCCCTGCAACAGAGTATATGAAGAGGAACCTCCAAAGCAGGGGCAGTTTTCACTGCTCTGCCTTCCCTGACTCCATGAAGAGTCAAAGCGGCCGCTCTCTGAACAGAGCGAGCTGCAGACAGTTCCTGCTACCACTCACACGGCTCCTCTCCTGCCTAACAGGGTTACTTCACACCCCAAAAGTAACTGGGTTTTCCCTCCTCTTTTGCAAAAGGAAAAAAAAAGTCTCCTCGGATGTAGCAGGACGCACAAGACTTACCCAGAAGCAAGACACCTGGCTTGTTTTAGTTGAGCACCTCTGTTAAGCCAGAAATCCAACCACCTCATTTATAAAATGGACCTGTAATAAGCTTTGTGCAGAGCAGCACCACCACCTTACAGGCAGCTTTGCCAGATGAGCAAGGAGATAAGCTGCTTGCTGGCTCTTTGGAAAGCACT